ACTTCAAATCGCCATTTGGCTATTCGTTGGTTTCCCCATCGCAAGACACAGAAACCAGGCTACCATCTTATTATAAAAGTAGAACAATCGTTTTGTTTTCAACATATTATTTCTTTCGTCCAACTCCTATATTATCAGCATTCCCCCTCTCATGTAGAAGTGCATCATGCATTTCTTACATTCTACCATCCCAGTTATATGATTTAATGAAAATAATTTTTTTCAATGCTTATTTTTAAATTAAAATTGTCATGAATGAAGACATCTATATATTTAATTCCGCAAGCGAATCGGTCCCCACGAAATATCTCAAGCTAAGAAAAAGGCATCATGGTTGTCAAGGATTAATTTTAAAGCTCATGGTCCAAGGACGGTGGGAAAATATCAGAAGTGTCCAAAATTACCCCTGCTCTGTCCCGCAGGCCGTCAAAGATCCAGTCATTTTCTAATGAAAGTACTGCTACAGGGTTTCTATAAGCGGTTTTAAATATGCCGAGTACGAACCCAGCATTGACGTGAAGCAAGTTAATTCGTTAATTGCAAACACTTGTACGTTATTAAATGGCAAGGCGCACGTTAAACGGTTCTAGCATGTAAACATTTTGAAATGTCAATAACTTAGTTACATTAAAGCATTTTCTTGTACAGTTAACATGGAAAACTTTACCTGATAACATTCATTGCCTGACTAGGTTTGTCATTGATATACAATTTTTTTTGTTTCTTATTATATTTTTTGTAAATATATCATTGTCCATTTTTAATCCATTACAGATAAAAAGTCTATTAGAGGGTTCTACCCGGTCTATTCAAGATGGCGGCTAAGCGTGTTAATGTTCCTAAACATGCCTCTACGGTACAAGCTCGCAACATTCTAAAACTAATTTGTTTCCAATTGTTTTATGTACTATTATTAATCAAGGGTGGTTCACTTCCAAACATTTTATTTGCGGAACAGTTTAATGCGATACTAGAATGTTTGTAATAGTTTATTATTTATTGTTTTATTATAAGTCGCAGACTAACTATAGTTTATCTTTCGGAAAGTGAGTGAGGGTTTATAAATTTCATCATTCTGAACTATGCATTAGGCTAGTTTACTGATTTACTATTTAGATTAATGAATGGTGAAGGATTCAATGGTTTCAATGAGACAATGTCGTATCTCAAGACGAGCAAAAGGCGTCTTTTCAACCCCCTCTTACTTTCCGACCTCGGCTTCGCCTCTGTTATCAAATTTGAGCTCGGACTGAAAAAGAGTCACCCCCCTAAGGACGAAACATACTAACAATTCGTTGCATACAGTTGTCGCTTGAAACTCTAATAGTTAAAATGGGTACTTACGTATTAAACGGAGGCCACCTAACCTACAGATTCGATTCGATTAGTAAACCTTCACCATCAGCAAGTTTGGTTGGTTAGGTTAGGTTAAGGTAGTTTAATTTGATAAAAAAACATATATTTATGATAACCCAACCTAACATAACCGCTGCAGCGCGCTGTAAAATATTTGGCCTCCGTATAATACGTAAGTACCGTAAAATGTATAAAGACAACAACAGGTTAGATTGTTTAATCAACAAGGTTTTCCAGACTGGGTTATCTGCCAATAGGATGGTCGAATGGTTCACCAGGGACAGACTCTGACAATACTGTTAGGTTAACACCGCATTCTAATGGAATTGTGATAATTGAGGTCACATTTTACTAACCACTAAAACTATAACAATGTTACTAGAAATTTCAATTTGACTGTCAACAATATAATTTTACAACGGTTAATTTGACGTGCACTAGTCCAAATGTTTTGTATTATTTTTCTCGGGAATAAATTTATTTTGAACCATTATATATTTTTAGGTAACAAAATCTCTACCCTAAATTTGTGACTACAGATAAAATTGCGTAAGTGTTGTCCTTATTTGTTCACTGATATAATATACTAGTTATATAATATACGCAGAACGTTGTATCGTATGTTATCTTCTTTGAAACACAATAACTAATTGTTGTAAAATGTGTAAAATTTTAACAAATCGGCAGTTTTAGATCGTAGCAGCTACTTATGAAACTAATGGCCACGGATGTATGACGTTCCTACATGGACCTGATGGATAAACCCCATTTTAAACTACCAAAACATTGCTGCCAGGACCAATAAATTGTGTACAATGGGTGGGGAGGGGTTTTCAACGAAATGTCAATACTGAAATAATAAAACACGTTTGTCAATTAAAGTTTGCTGCAAGAAATTTTCCAAATAATTTAAAACAAGGATTACTTTCAAGCACGTTTATAAATTTCTTCGAGTAGAACTGAATTAAAATTGGGTCAGCCCTGTTTCTTTCTACTTATCATGCGAACTCAAGTTCATTGATTCAGATTAGAACTAATTTGTTAGCTGCTCTATTTATGATCCATTATTATGGAAGACTCAAGACAGAAGTTTATCCTATAAATCTGTAACTTGGCTGGTTCAGTTAGCGAGAGCATAACTTTGGAACTAAGACCGGAGCGGATTTGGTTCTTAAACGATATCTTCAGCGTTTCATATACAACTTGTAATCACTTGTTTGTTTATGAAAGTAATGTTTTGCTTGGGTTATTTTATAAACACCTTGTAAAAAAATGCTGTATAACTGAATATGATTTGGAAATTTTCCTAAATTGAAAGTAGTTATTGACGTACTTGGCACTCATTTAATTTTTAGTTTTTATTACCACAGAGGTCAAAAACACAGGTTGTAAACGATTTGTGTACATGATATGAATCCATAAACACGATAGCTCGGTTAACATTAACAGAACCATCATAATCGGACTGTGATCAGGTTTTTATAGAGCAAAAATTATGTTGGAAAAACATAAAGTTATTATTTTTTTAGTTTTACTATCTTTCGTGCAGTAGCAAACCTAAAAGTACTCGTCAAACCTAAACTTATTTAAAAGGGAATACATCTAACATAGGGAAATATTTTAGTAAAATCCAATCAGGCAATAATTATAAATATGCTTAGTATGCATGTTTTTGAGGTGGAGGTATTTTAACACAGTCCTTTGAATATAAATGTTTGTTTGACATTGAAAATATAAACACATAAATAGTATTTCACTTGTATTTTGAAACCTGATTTCACCAATGAATACAATTGATCTCACCTAGCACTGATGTTGGCCAATCAACATCTAACCAAACAGCTGATTGTGTTGAAACGTCAACATCATTTGTTTGTGTTTGATCCAACCTATGAACTTTAATAGCATATGATAAATATACCTTTGAATACATATTATTACACTCTCATATACACGAAACAAGTGACTTACTTTTGTATTATTTCAACCGAAAAGGCGAAAATGAAACGCAAGTCATCAAGTAGGTTGATGATTGGGCTTTTTTAAATAATGATTTCCTCAAAGTTGGGACAACATACGTAAACGACTTTAACATATGATCAGTGTTATCATCAGAGTTGAGTAAGAGTAATCATCAGAATTTCATCACAGTCATCGCCAGAGTTATCATTAGAATTTCATCAGTGTTATCACCAGAGTTTTCATCAGAATTTCATCGGTGCTATCATCAGAGTTATCATCAGGATTTCATCAGTGCTACATCAGAATTTCATCAGAGTTTCCTCAGAGCTATCATCCGAGTTTCACCAGAGTTATCATCAGATTTATCGTCAGTACAAGTATCACCTAATTTAACAGAACTGCCAACCGGCGTTTGAAATGTCCCACATTTATTATTAGTTCATATGCAACAAATATAAATAATTTATTTTAAATATTTTGTTTTAAATGTTAGTCAACAACTTTTTTGACGAACTAAATTATTACGCATGTTATTCATAATCACTGAATAAAATGTATTTATTATAAATATTTTCAAGCGTTCATTTTTTTATCAATCCCATATAATTTTAGATCTAAGAGCTGAGACACTAGTTGCCTTTTGTTGGAAGACATCCCATTAAGCTGTATATTTATTGAGATTTCCTATCTTATTCGAAAGGAGGAATAAATTGTTATAATTTGCTCGTTCATAGATGTTAGTTAAGTTTGTTAGTGCCTAAATGAATTGAAATTTGGTAATGTACTATACCTTTATTGTTCCATCACTAACAAAATGTACAAAGATTTCAAGGCAGATGCTACTTTTACCAAAATAGTTTTGAAAAATCTAACCAATAATAAAATAAATATGTTTTTTTAAGTGTGTAAATATGTATAGGACCAATGCACGTGTTGATTGATTTAAGTATAAACAAATACGTTAATATCTGTCCGGATTTTTAGTTTAAATAAATGTATCAATATTTTTTATTTGTATATTACTTTGCATTTATAAAGCAAGAGGATGAAAATATTTAGTAAAATTTATTGTAACATTTATATATATATATCATTTAAATATTCTAGACATGACAAATACATAATTTTTTACCTTAATCAATTAATCTAGGGAAGTGTTTTATTTTTATCATGTTTTATCGCGTTTATTTTTCTGTATACTAATTGCACTTAAATCGGACCAACCCGTTAATTCTTAATTTAAGATTACGTTTCCTGTATGAGTTTGTCTAAAATGTAACCGTATTGTATTTTAAAATATTTTCAAACACAATTTTTATTTTAAGAATCATGTACAACGGTTTTATAAAATAATTCGTCAGCCACTTGTATTCGCATGCATGGACCAAGGACATCGAATGCATCGGCTTTGTTCAGGTGCAAGCTGCACTTGTTGATAATATTGATTTTCATATCTCTGATAAAATTATATGTAGTACTGTTAAATCCGGACCATATTTTTCCAAATGTACAACTTATTTTATGAACTTAAAATACAAGTTTATAATGTTAGGTACATTTAAAACAATTTTGATATTGCAAAGATATTTTATAATCGACGGTATTACATCATTCAGTTACGTTTACAGATAATATTTTAACTTAAAATATATATACAAAAGGCATGTGACTAAGATACATACATGTTTTAGAGGCCTAAGTCCATTCCCAACCTAACCGCACGGTACCACAGGCAACACTGGTATAGAGCATCATGGGAAAGGTCGATGAAGCAGTAGTACCAACCTAGCTAAAAACATCCGCCCTCCCACCACCACCAGTGTACTACCCTTGCTGAAAACGTTCAGTGTTAATTACACCCCATAACTTATTATGCTTATGTCCAAGTCATTGTGCGACGATATTCTTATCTTCCAGATCTCTTTTATTTTTTGTGCAAACGTAGAGGGGATTTTTGCGGTAGTAACTCTTTACTTATTCACAACGCAACTTTGGTCGAACTTCCAATTATTTTATCCCTTAAACTCTCTTGTATGAAAGGAGCATCTTTAATGTTTCATTAAAATGTTAGCCTTGAAGATCACTTTGAAGATTAATAATCAGTTTGTAATTTTGTTTAACAAAGTAAATTATTTTACTCTGTTTATGGTTACATAGTAATTTAATGCTTAAGGTATCAAATATTTAATCTTATATGATTTGTGGGAAACCCAGTACGACATGGCGGTAATTTTAAATTTTCATCAGCCCTAAAGAAACTTGTAATGAATGAGGTTAAATTGTACGATGAATTTTCAAATGACCGCCATGTCGTACTGGGTTGAGATAGAGACCTCTATTTTTCGATGATATTCTTCTTTAAAAAAGGTATTTAAAATGAGGTGTCACTCGATGGGGCTTTACATTTAAAATTTTGGAGCTACCCCCAAAATACCCCATTTTGGGGTCCCGGGAAAAATTGGGATACCGTCCAAAAAGTGCAGTTTTATTTTTTATGAAGGTATGTGGAGTTTAGTTTTCCTGGTGTCATCCATTTAAAAGTTAACTAGGGGTATCCACACATTTGCCGAACCCTGTATAAAGTAATAAATTACTTGATTGTGCAATTACAGAAGTCAGGGTGTTTTCAAAGAAACTTTTTCATAGACAATGTCACCATCTACATAATAACATCGTTGTCAGTGCTTTAAGATTGCTAAGCGCATACTAAGGCCGGGCGCGCACTATCCCGACCACGACCACGACCACGACCAAACGCCCGACCAGTGGTTGTCATTCACCATGCGACTAGAGCACGACCCGACCACGACCCGACCAAGGCAACGAATGTTTTACAAACTTCAGTGTCAGGATGATTGTTGAAGAAGTAGTTGTTATGGTGCATTTGCATCGTAAGTACGTTAAGCGGAAGAAGAAATTATACTGGGTACATCCAATGTTAACTGTCAGGTCTGAAAGGGCATTTTGCAACATTTTATGAAGAGCTACGTCAATATGCAGACAGGTTTCAAAAGTGTCAAAATCCTGCGACATTATGCCAAATGAGTCACTTCACAGAACGGCGCAAAAAACTAGTGCTCACCGTTTGATTGGTCTAGGAATACTGGGGGTTGAGTGGTGTACTGGTCGGGTCGGAGGCAAGTCGGGGGTAGTGCGCGTCCTCCCATTACATTGTGTGCTATTTTTGGCTGCAACGACCAGCGGGTCGGGCCCGACCAAACTGAAAAATTTTGGTCGTGCGACCAGGGCCCGACCAGGGTCCGACCAGTCGACCAGTGCGCGCTGTTCCATTTATTCCTATTATAAAACTGGTCGTATCCGACCAGTCGGAGTCGTGGTCGTGGTCGTGGTCGGGATAGTGCGCGCCGGCCCTAAACAGGGAGCGAGCAGATCTAGTGGTAGAGCTCGGGGCTTCGGTGCCCGAGGTGCCGGGTTCGAATTCCGCAAATCACCAATGGATTTATCCATGAGATAATTCCACGACCCTTTAGGACTAGCCTGAAGTTATGTGTAAAACAGTACCGGGCTAGAATCTAGCGTCCTAGGATATGAAGGTGGGAAAATACAAATATAATAAAATAAATACAAAACATAAAGGCATTTTACTGCTACAGGTTTATGTTTTCCCAAGTTAGAACTCTTTACTACCTCTCTAATCTTTGGAGGATGACGCCGTTAGCCTGTATTTAAACTTACTAAGGTCCCTAAAAATCTAAAGTAAGGGTTCTTACCTCTTTCTATTCGCACTCAATAAAACTAAGCCTAACCTATCAGATATTTTTTTTATTCAAAAACCTATTCAAAATTTCGTATTCATTTGCAAAATGTTTGTTTAAAGACGTAAATATTCAAGTTTAGTTGCTTACGTCCGCTTAACTAATTCACTTTTTGGCTGTTTTTATATTATGTTGAATTGTGAAAAGTTTTCTTATCCTTCTGTTGGGCATTATTATTATTTTTTATTCTGGGGAGGAGGTAAAATTGCATTTACGATATGCACACTGAGATGGTCATTAGATTACATTTCAAAGTTTAAATGTTTCAAAGCAAAGAACATGAATTTATTAAGTGATTAACATTTTTATAAATTTAAAACGTTTAGAGGAACAATTTATAAATGAAGGTGTACTGAGAATAAACCGTTCGATTTTGAATAATCCTAGTAGCAAAAGGAATTTTCAAATTTGCATTGATATTTAGTTTAAGAATTTAATTTTCTTACGCAGATTCTATATTACCTTTTATATGTTGTAGTTTTTTATATTGTTTTCAATTTTATACAAATATAGTGGTTTAATATAAATACAGAAGAGAATACCAAAATTACAAAATATATATAAATGACAAACCCATAACAATTACAGATGTCACAACAGAAGGGATAACATTGTGATATTGGAAATGTTTTACAATGAAACACTGTTCATTATTACGGCTTTTACGCTTCATGTAGCATCAAATGGAAATAAATCTCTGTTCCAATAACAACATTGGATGGGTTGGGATATTATTTTTATTTGTTTAAAATAATCTTCTAATCTTAATTTCTGTCTGGTTTTCAACAATTTATTTCTATGTAATATTTAGTTACCAAACCATATTTTCCAGAGGAATTTGTAAATTTCGTTTTTAATTTGAACATAAAAAAACCTATAAAGCCAAGTTAAAAATATTTACCTTTACCAAAATCTATTTTCATATGGTTTTTTGAACTAGTTATTTTAAAATACATTGGGGACAACATAACTCCTGTTGTTACTAAGGGGAAACATATGACCCTCTAAAAAAATACTAAAAAAAGAAGCTGTTGAATAAAAACACAAGTTAACCTGTAGATATCAGGCCTTTGTTGTATGAAATTCACGCATGGACGAATCAATTAACTCGTATTTTCTGTTAAATATGTTCTTGTATTAAAATCTATGAAGATTTGAAATTGGATGGTACAATAAAATTATTGCTTAAACATCGAATAAATATAAATTATTTCGAATTATATTTCCAGTATCTTTTTGAAAAGTAGTACGATTTTTACAATCCAATTACCACTGAAGATGAGTGTTTCTGTAACTTAAAGAGGTGATTATTGATCCCTTTAATCAGTGCGGTTTAGGATAATTGTAAGGTGGCTCCGGATGCAACTGTAATCATTACACCATTCTCGGCAACATCAGTTTAACGTTGGACTTCAAGAAAGGCAATATAATTTACTAAATAAATCTTATATTGGTTTCATTATTGTTTTCATTACACAATTTTATACCTTATCACAAAAACGTAGAACATAAATGTTTCATACTTATTCCATACTCAAAGACAGCCCTAGTAATTATTATTATTATTTATTCGTGACAAAAGTAATTTTTACATTTTTTCGTCTCTATGAATCTATATTTCCTCTGTGCATAGAAATTATAGTTTGTTTAACTGTACCTGTAAAAAATAATAATTGATTGACCTTGATTACGAAACTGTGATCATTTTCGATTAAAATATTTAAAATCGTCAAATAAATATTCCAATGTTCCATTGTGTTTTAGTTGGGCTATTCTTAGAAAATTCTTACAGCCGATTATTAGAAACATTTAAACTATACAAACGTTACTCATATCGATATGGACTTGTGTCGGTTTCCGTAGCAGGTAGTGTGAGCAATTGTAGCAAGGCGCGTGGGTATGCAATAACCGCAGTACTCGCCTGTATCATTATTGCTTACAACGCCTTGGTGCAGCAAGTGATGACATCCATTCTTAACTAATACAACTTTGATTTGTGTGATTAGGTTGAATTGACTTAAATGAACATTATTACTCTGCAGAAATTTTACGTCTTTCTATTAGCTTTTTACCACAGTTTATTTCTGGTATTATTTTTCATATATACATTGTTCAAAGACCTGCATCTTACAAATTGCTGAATCACTTTATTTCTTATTTTTAGTATTTAACATTATGAACGATTTAATAGCTTAAACTGAATCACAAATTAAATGTTATAAAACACTATTTAGCTATATCAGTACAACGTTTTGTATACTGATCTATAAACGTTATACGTCCTTAACATATATTATATTGGTCGCAAATTACATTTTATAAAACACAATTCTATATCAGTATAACGTTTTGTATGCTGACCTATAAACGTCATATATCCATAATATCGCCTATTATATTGACCTGAGTGACCTCTGTCGTTCAGGGGTCAATTATAATTTTCATTTTGATTTTCCTGGATTCCCCAATTATTTTTATTGCTATTAGAATTAATTTGCACATAAATTATATACCCTTTACAGCAGAAAGTTCAGTGTTCCGTTTCGGAACGTTGGTCACGTGATTTACAGTGGTGCCAATAGTTACAACCACAGCATAGGCATGCATAGACGGGCCCATATTTATTACACCAGAGATAATCCCAGAATTTAATTCAATTCTATTGGTGTACTTCAGTGCGGTACAGAATGCATAGGCTAGTCAGGAAATTAATCTCAGAAAGTTAAATACAAAGAGCCTTCCTTCACACAACCACAATTCAGGAACAAAGTCATTTAAGCCTCATATTACTTGTTTAGATGCAGATCAGCCAATTCTCTAAGGAAAACTGTATTGCAACTTTGATTATTCGAGCATTGTTCGAGATTCTACTGGTATGTAATCGTCTACTTGAATTTTTGCTACTCCTCCTTAATAACGAAGAGGAATACTACAGTCTTCTGCCTTC